CTTGACACAACATTGTAAAATGACTGTAAGTCAATAAAAAATGTTTTAAAAAACATTGTTAATACATTTGAAAGCTTATGAGAAACATATCATTTTCTAGAAAAATACAAATTGTCAAAATTGAATTTAGAAAAAATAGAAAACAATATACCACTATTCGTTGGTAACCAAAATTTTCCTTCCCCTGCAAAATCCAGTCTCAATAGTTTTACAAAACAAGTAATTCTGATTTTATACTATTTCAGAGTTGAAAGGGGGAAAGCTACTCAAATCACTTTTGAGGCTCATGTAGCCTTGATATCCAAACCAGAAAAGAATAGTTTAAAAGAAAAAAATTTTAAATCAATTATCCGTACAATGCTAAGTTGCCAAAATGTAAAATAAAATATTAGTGAATCAAACTTGGCAGTTTACATAAAAATAATAATTAATCATGATCAGGTAGGGTTTGTCCTGGAAATGTAAGAAAGTTCAACATCATGAAATCTATTAAGGATACACCATATTAACAGATTAAAGAAAAATATGTAATACTTTTAATAGATGCAGAAGGACATTTGATAAGGTTCTACAGTCATTTTAAAAAAGAACCTTTTAGTAAACTTCAGGGTAAAAAGCTAAGTATCAAAGTAGTATTTTCTATAACCATATTGAAGAAAAAATATAATGATCTTAATAGGAACAGAAAAAATTTTATAAAATTCAACATTCATTTATTTAAAAACTATATACTTTACCAAATTAAAGGGTAAAGGGTAGTCATAAAAAATCCACAATAAGAATCATATTGAAGGAGGGTATAGCTCAGTGGTAGAATGCTTGCTTAGCATGCATGAGGTCCTGGGTTCAATTCCCAGTACCTCCATTGAAAAAATAAACCTAATTACTTCCTCCCAAAAGAAAAAAAATATATTTAAAAATGAGACTTCAGAAAAGTCCTAAAGTCAAGAATAAGGTGCATATCCATTATTATAGTGTCTGTATATCATTGTACTGGTGATACATTGCAACAAGACACAAAAAGAAAGATGTGATTGGAATGGAAGAGATAAAACTCTTATTTGTAGACAATATGATTATCTAGAGAGAAAATTTAAGCAAATTCATAGAGAAACTATTAGAACTAATTAGAAAATTGAGTAAAGTTTCTAGATATGTGATCAATATATAAAAATTGGTAAATGTAAATATTATTAACAAATGTAATAGAAACATATATCTCATAACTGCAACATACACTGTAAGATACATGGGAATAAACTGATGTGATATGTGAAATGTTTGAAAAGTTGAAAAGAGTATTGAAAGACATAAAATAAGATCTGAATAAATGAATGGGAAGACTCAGTGTCAAAAGGTGACAATTATTCCCAAAATTATTTTAAAAATTATATGTAATTAGAATTTTAAATAATCCCAATAAAATTGCAGAACTTGACATTCTGATTCAAAAACTGTAGAACAAAACACCAAGAATATCTAAGATAACTTGAATAAATTGAACAAGGTTGTAGAACTTGCCTTATGCAATATCACCACTTCTCATAAAGTAAAAAGTGTGGGCAGAGGAACTGGTTATAAATATGGAAAAAGAAAAAAAGAGATTCCTACCTCACAACATAGTTTTATGACCTCAGGATAAAGAAGAATTGCTTAAATACAAGAAACACCCACCATAAATTTTGACACATTCAAACTTAAAACTTCTGTACAATAAATGACACAATAAATAAAGATAAAGGGCAAGTCACAAACTGAGAAAAGTATAACCCACAGAGCTGAGAGGGTTTGATTCAAGAATCAAAACCACTAGGGGTGATGTAGATTAAGGAATTTATTACGGAAATTTGATCTTACATACTTATGGGAGCTAGTTAAACAGTTAATACAACTATTGCTTCTGCATCTAGTCCTGAGACCTCAAATCAGCAGGGTGGGCAGTGAGAGACGAATAACGGGCATGAAGTGGGGAGAAACAGGACAACTGGAACCTGCGAGTAAGAGCTGAAACTCACAAGAGGGAACAAACACTTCTTTCTTTCACTACCTCCAAGCTTCCAACTTCCATAATGCAAGAGATCCGTGGAAGAATCTGGTGCCTTTTATCCCAGAGCTAACAATGCACCTTGACCAGGAGTTGGAGAAGCTGAAGGAGGAGATCCAATGAGAGCTCAAAGAGCTGCAGACTTGGCTCTAGCTTCACACCCATAAAGTGAACCAACAGGTCACCAGGTCACTGAGCTTCAGCTGCAGTAGCATTGACCCTACAGCGACTTCCCAAGTACAATCATGGCTGCTTCACTTCTAGCTTTCAAATATCATGCCAATTTCTCCTGTGGCCTACCCTAGCCCAGAACCATACAGGAAAAGAAATTCTAGGAATAAAATTCCAGCTTAACTAAGGTGACACCGTACAAAGCCATCACAGTCCACCCTTTGTCAACTTGGCATCCATAAACACCTGTTTTCACCATACTTAACTTTCAAATAGTTTGAAAGCAAAATACAGAAAATTGTGCTTCTGCTTAACATAATATACCTAGCCCTTGAATAATGAAAAGATATCAGATCTATTGGTTATCGATGTGGAGAAAGAAAAAGTTCATTTCTAACCCTCCCCTGTCAAAAGGGGATACAAAGCCTGTAAGTTCACAGTTTTCCTAGTTTGGCAATGTTCACTTCTCTTCTAGCTAAGTCACACTGCCCCTGTGATATCCTGTAACTCAATTACTGATGAATAATGTTAAAAACTTATTTAGACAGTAGAGGAATGAGAAGGGGAAGGGAAATTTTGGTTAAAACACAAAAATATTTACATTAAAATAAAAAGAAAAGTTTTGTCCTCATTCCTGCAACTGGTTATGTTGCTTTAGCTGGTATTTATATATGCTCTTCCAACTCCCCATTTATATTTCCTGCCTGCGGCGGTGACCTTTGTTTCTGGTCTGTGCTATTAACACTCCTTCCTGTATTAGTTTGTAATAGTTTTACTGTTGGCCTCAATCACAGGAGATGAGACTACCAAGAGGCTCCCCATTCCAGCCTTGATCGTCAGGACCAATCACGCCAGGCAGTACAATAACCTTCTTCTTTGCCTGTTGATTCACTGGCAAGAGAAGCCCCAAAGTTGCCGGGGTCAGTCTCAACTTCCAGTTCAATGGAACTGCTGCTGTGACCCCTGTGGAAATATTTCTTTTAGGGGAACAAATATTCTAGATTAGCAGAGCCCAAAGTTTCAGAGACACAAAGCAATAATTTTGCTAGAGAAGTACTGTGTGTTATCTCAGTTCTAGCCTCTGTTTCCTGACCCACGGATCCTTGCTTTGAGAGAAATAGTACCATGTGTCAGTTGCTCATTGAGAGCACATCCTGAAGGCATTCTCCAAGCCCTCAAGTGCTGCCACCCAGCCGGCACCTTTTGAGTCTTCAAAAGGCCATTCCACTGTTCTCTGAGGCCAGCTACTTTAGAGTGATGGGGGACATAGTAAGACCAGGGAATTCCAAGAGTGTGAGTCCATCGCTGCTCTTCATTTGCTGTAACGGAAATTCTCTGGTCAGAAGCAATGCTATGTGGAATGCCAGGACAGTAAATAAGGCATTCTACACACTCACAGATGTTTTGGCAGAAGCACTGAGGGCAGGGAAGCAAACCCACGTTGCAGGTACTGGATATTCCAGTGAGAACAAAGCACTGCTCTTTCAAATATAAAAAGGCTGCCGCCAAGTTGCTGATTGATTTCCAAATTGGGAACTCAAATTCCAAATTTCCAGACTGGTTTCTACTGTTGGCAGGTTGGGCACTCAGCAGGGGCTATAGCCAGACTGGCCTTGGTGAGTGAGAATCCATACTACTGAGCCCACGTTTGACCTCCATCCTTCCCACCGTGGCCACATTATTCATGAGCCCATTACAGTAATCGTACCTACCTAGTCTTTGGTTATTAAGTACCATCACTTGGTCCCTGCCAACCTGGGATCCCAGCGTCCCCACTGAATCTGTGGAGCCAGATTCAATGGCGTAAATTCGTACCATCATTTTTGGCCTACAGGAATAGCCACGATAGAGATCTCCGAGGATGTCAGGGCTCTCCTTGTGAACGTGTTTCTCTCAGGCTTGGTAAAAGCAGTGTCCTCTGTCCTTTCCTGAGCACATTTTTAGGAGGCAGGTAAACAGGTCTAATATGATGAATCTACTCTAGCATTCCAATCTTCCTTAGCCTTTGGACACTCTCATCCACAGTATACCAAAGACATTTTGGCATTCTAGCTTCCAGATTTCAATCACCCAACCAAGCAAATAGTTGGAACCACTCAAGCTAACACATCAAATCAGAAATCTCTGCTTACTGAGCCCTAATAAATAAATGTTGCCTAATCTGACTTTATATTCCTTCCTACCTGATTCTGTGCCTTAGGGGTCCATAGCTATACATTTCCCCAGGTTTCCCTTGATATAAATTAGCAAAGTCATGCAGTTACTTTGGTGTGTATCACACCTTGTCCTGGATCATGCTTGGTACTTCACCCTTTGGAGCCTGTTTGGACTTGAATCTATAAACAATGGAAGAAACTCATCTGTAGACACCAATGTTTTGAGCCCTAGTCAGGACCACAGGGCCACTGGGAGCCTAGGAAGTTGAAGAAGATGCGCTGGGAGGCCCCTTGGCTCCCTCTTCTTCCAGCACCCTCATGAATCCTTGTCCCTTTTCTCTTTTTTCACCCTCTCTTTTGCAGGGTCTCTCTCCATCTTTCTCTTTCATCTTTCCAAAGGGAGAATTTTTCACCCAGAAGAAAGGTGCTAACTGGGGACTCTGCAGGTCATTGGAGCTGAGATGCAGGGCCCACAACACATCAGGCCTCAAGTCAAGCACAGCCTACAGGAAGAGAGGGACCTTGGGACCGACCTGGGGAGAAGGCTCACACCTCCTCCCCCTGCCCGGCCGCCTCGGCTCCAGCCCACACCTGCCTCTCCCCTCCTGGCCCCTCCTGCGTCCCCTTGCACCTGACAGGCCAGAGCAAACAAGCTGTTGTTTGTTCCTCCCTCCCAGAAACGCACAGTAACACGGAGGAGGCGCACATGGCCAGCACACATCGCACTTTGCAGTCACCTACTGGTTCCTAGCTTTTTCTTATGTATGCTGCTTTGAAGACTTCCTCTGAACTCCTATGCTCTTTAATTAGGCTGAGGTCAACAAACACCTATTTGTGTGAGACCTATTTTATGTGCTGGGTTTATGAGGGGTACAAAGGATGGAAGACTACAGTTTCTTCCCGTTGGGAACTCACAGTCTCATGGTGGCAGAGACTCACAACTAAGGAATGCAACTATGAGACTAAAAGGGCAGATTCTATGGGAGTGTGAAGGACAGAGATTACCTAAAACGTCAGAGATCCAGGAAGGCTCCTTGGAGGGGGCTTCCCTCTGCAGATACCTTCAAGGAGATGAAAGCTGAGGAAGGCAAGGGGTGGGGGACACTATGCAGAAAGAAAGTGATGGAAGAGAGAAGAGCTAGTCAGTGTGGACCCGCTGAGAACTCCCAACTTTAAGAACGGGCAAAGGCAGAGGGAAGCAGCAATGATCAGAGAGAAAGTAAAAGGACCAGGGCAAACAACACTTGCACAGTGAGACTAGTATGTTTTCTACCCCAACTAATCTAAACCCTTTGTCGAACTGAAAGGAAGGACACTGAGGCCCAACTAAGTGGGGAGTGATTTGCACAAAAGGCAAAACTCAGTCCAGGACTCAGCTTCCAGCTTACTGTACCCTGTGTGCCCATGACAGCCCCAGACCCAGGTCAGCAAATTTTTGTCATTTTATCTACCAGCCATGCTCACCACAGTGCCCAGCACACAGTGGGGATGAACATATTTGCTGAATTGAATTCTGTGTCTCCCGTATTCCTTCAGTTTCTAAGGAAAGGAGAAGGAACAAGAAAGGGGGATGGTCCTCTGCCAAACCTCTATTGATACCACAGGCACTGTGCGGGTGTGTATTTATGCTACCTTGTTGAGCCCCATGATCCTGCTGTCATTCCCGTTTCACAGAGGAGGAAACTGGATCTTGAACAGCTAAGTGATTTGGTTTACAGCTAGCCAACTGTGAGAATTCAAACCCAGGTCCACCTGATGCTACGTTCCACAATGAGAGTGTCAGGCTAAATGGCTGAAATGGAATTGAATTGAATTGATTTCTCCTCCGAGCCCACAGCCCTTCAAGGGGAGGGATTATGATTTTCCTTTGAGGGTGGAGAGGGGATGGAGCTGTCGTGGAAGAGTGTGTGTGTGAGGGAGTAAATTCTTTTAAAGACTAGCTTGTGTCAGCTACTCATAACTGACTGAAATTCCAACACCAGAAGAGAAGAACAAAAGTATTGGTTCTTTTTTAAAAGGTCACCTAAAAGCCTATCAGCTTCTGCCTCTCTCAGCATCATCTCATTCGAACCTGGGCTGAGGGTTCAGAAGCTCAGGGGTGTTGTTGAAATGGAAAAAACACAAAAAGAGTTGGGTTATCATGTGTGTGACCTCTCTAAGCATCTTGTAAGAGATGGAGTTGGAGAGGAGAGAGGATGAAAGAACCATCCAGAAAGAGGTATCCGTGTTCAGAAGAAAGGAAGCTAGAGATGATGGTGGTGGTGGTGGTGACGTGTGTGTGCGCGTGATGCAGGCAGGTGTCAGGGGGCGCCAGGCAGAGAGAAGAGGACTTGTCACAGCCCTGCGTACCAGCCCAGACTCTCCCTCATGCCCTTGTAACCTTTCTAAGGCTCTTCCACAAGTGGGTTTCCAAGGTTGTCACCAAGCCTTTGCCATCCCCTACTAAGGCTGCATCCAGGGACGGGCAGGGCACTGGGTGGAAGGGAGCGCTGGAAGTCCTAGGAAACCTCACTTTCCCACCGGCCAGCTGCAGGGGCTGGGCCTTGCCACCAGCTGGGGGTCTGGGAGTCGGGCAGGGCTCTGCCTGCCTGTTTGTTCAGCCCTGAACTGAGGTTCCTGTTAGGAAGCAAACTTATTTGTGTTCAGACTGATTTGTTTGCTGTTCGCACTCCGGTGGAGAGATGCCCCTTGGAGTCCTGGCTTCAAACACAGGGGTGAGCGTGGGAAGTGAGAGTGGCCAAACTCAGAGCCTGCAGGGCAGGAAATAATTGGGAAAACCAAAGTCTACAAGCCTCTGATGAGGAGAGGGAGAGTTGGACCCCACTGGCAGCTCAGCCCTGGCTCCCTGCTTTCCAGAGAAGAGCCACGTGGGGCTCACCCAGTGAGGAGTCCTAAGTCAGGAAGGGTTTGGAGTCTGGCTTCCTCACTCACCAGCAGAGCTGCCTAGTGAGGAACCAAATATACTAATGCCAGGGTCCCCACTTTGAGAGGTTGATTTAGTTGGTCTGAGGTGTGGCCAGGGCACTAGGACTCGTAAACCTTCCCAAGTGATTCCACTGTGTGGTCAAGGTGAGAGCCTGTGTTTAAGAGCCTACCAGCGTCTCAAACCTTCACGTGCATACAGATCACCTGGAGATCTGGTTAAATTGTAGATCCAACTCAGTGGGTCCAGGTTAGGTCCTTAGATTCTGCATTTCTAACACACTGTCAGGTAACACTGGTGCTGCTGGGCTGGGGACTATACCTTGAACGGCAAGGCCCTCTGCCTGCTTTGAATGCCTCATTCCAGTTGTGCCCATTGATCGGAGGGAAGGAGTGAGAGCCTGTCCCCAGGCTTTCTGCACCTGTTCACTTGGCCCACCCTTCCCCTACTACTTTATGTGGTCAGGTGATCAACATACTTCACAACTTCTCTGGCCAAGGCCAGTCTTGTAGTCATTCTCAAAGTTTAAGTGGACAAGGCAGATCTCTTCCCCTACCTGGGACAAACCAATTCACCTGGCTCCAGTTGGGGACTGTGGCAGAGGTAGGGAGGGGCAGCAGAAAAGCAGCAGGCACATCCTTCTCTTGTCCTCTTGGGGACTCAGACCTGATGGGCAGATAGGACATAAACATTGTGTGGTAGGGTATGTTTCCAAAGCTGGCTAAAATAAAGACTTCCTTCCCAGGTGCTCTGTTGCAAAGAGGCCTTGCCATTCCCCCATCCCCTCTTCTTTGATCTGGGCTAGCCCTATGACTTGGTTTGGTCAGTAGAATATGAAGAAAGTGATACTGTGTAACTTCTGACGCAGGACCTTGTGATCTGAAGTTTTTCCTCTGCCAATTGGGATGCTCACTCTCAGGATCCAGCTTCCATGTGAAGCCCAAGCCAGTCATTGGGAGAGAAGAGTGAGTCCCAGTCTCTCAGGCAGCCCTGCCAAGATGCTGGATTTGTGAGTCAAGCTAGCCTGAATGTTTCAGTTCTAGCCACCATCTGATGGCAAGCCAGACCAGCTACATAATTTGTGAAGCCCAGTGTAAAATGAAAACTTATGGTCTATTGTTCAAACACGGTTAGGAATTTCAATATTTTTTTAGTGACTTTCCTCCCTTTTGGACCTCAGGAGCAGGTTCCTTCTACTGGTTCATGGCCATTACCACCAGATGCCTGAAACAGACCCCACTCTGTCTATCTCTTCCTCTTTATCCTCATCCCCTTGCCAATTCCCCTAACAAACCTTTCTCTTGTATGTTTGCCATTTGTTATTGATCATTTATGGATCCACGTAAAATATACAGGGCATATATACATGTATATATGTCTTTGTATATATGTCTTTGTATATATGTCTTTAATTTACATAAATGGTATGGTATAAATCTTTTTTTCTTTTCTTTCTTTTTTTTAATCAAAACTCTTTTAAAGTTCTCTCTTTGGGGCTATCTGCATAGAAGTTTCATTGCTTCTAGTAGCTGTTTTCTAGTATGTCACATTGCTGATAGGAAGTCTGCTGTCAGGTTGATTTTGATTTGTAGAAAACCTTTTCTGTTGTTAAAAAGCTTGGGAGATCTTCTTCTTTATCATCAGCATCCAAAGGATTCAACAAGATGCTTGGGTAGCTACTGTCTCACAACGTGTCCTTCCAGCCGTGGGCAACAGGCAGTGGGCGGGGGTGCTTTTGGCTGCACTGAGGATGCGGTGTCTGAGCAACATCCCAGTGGGGACATCTGACAGGAAGTCAGGTAGGAGAAGGTGTCTGAGCTGAATACAGGTTTGGGAGTCACCTGCATCTGGCTTCTACTTTGAAAAAGAAAGATACTGAAGATGAGATCAAAGATGGAGGAGAATTTGTCAGGTGGGGAGGTGAGTGGGCGGAGGGTCTACTATTAGGTGAGCAATTGCTTTCTTCTCCTTTTTATTATAAAATATTTCAAACACTAAGAAAGTTATAAATATATGATAAATACCCAAGAACTCACCATCCAACTTTATTGATTGCAGTTTTTGCCATGTTTATTTCAATTTTTCTTTCTTTAAGTAAAAGTGCATCACAGACACGTATGTAGTCCCTTTGAACCTCTCACCAGTCTCATTTGGGGGAGTTCACGCCCACCCCCGCCCCCCAGCCTGCTTCTCCATGAGACTCGGGGCGGGGCCCCTCCTGGGCTGTCCGGAGAGCGGCGCCCACGCAGGCGCCCAGGTGAGGCGCGGGGGAGCCGGTTGTGACCGAGGCTGCGTTTCCGTTCCAGCTGCTTTACTCACGCTTTCCCTCTTGTTTGATTTTAGTGCGTCTTTTGTTTTGTTTGGGGGTTTTGTTTTTTGTTTTTTGTGGGGTTTTTTGTTTTGTTTTGTTTTTTTGCCTAAAATAAAAGTGGGGTTTTGCCTTGCTTTTCTTCCACTTGCCAGCTGGAGGTAATGTACTTGATCCTGGTTAGTATTTTTATCTCACTGAGGGCTAAGAGGGGGAAGGAGAGACGGGAAACGCTGTGAAAGCTGTCTTTCACACATCCATACATTCAGTCACTTACTTATTCATTGCACGAGTATCCATTAGGCCCCTGGACTATGAAAGACACAAGCTACCTGCTAAGGACATATGGCTGCTAAGTTTAGGGGACAAGAAACGTATGCAGAGATATTTGGGAAAGTGGGGCTTTAAAAAAGTTTTTTACACTAACTTCAGAAAAAAAAAAAGGAAAGTAAAATTACTATCAAGAGAACAAGTTAAATCTTAAAAAAGAAAAAGAAAAAAAGAGTATCTAACTTAAATCAAAAAAGAAGTTTGGATTATATAAAGTATGAAAAATACTAGCTGTCATGTATGAGTTACTTATTGTTTCAAAATGCTAGAAGTATCTTGAGCCTACATTTAAAGGAAGAATCACAAATGAAAAGTTGAGCAGGAGGTATCTAGCCAAAAGTTGTTGGAGAGAAAATTATTCTTTCTTTTAACATTTTTTATTGATTTATAATTATTTTACAATGTGTCAAATTCCAGTGTTCAGCACAATTTTTCAGTCATTCATGGACATACACACACACATTGTCACATGTTTTTCCTCTGTGAGTTATCATAACATTTTGTGTATATTTCCCTGTGCTATACAGTGTAATCTTATTTATCTATTCTACAATTTTGAAATCCCAGTCTATCCCTTCCCACCCTCCACCCCCCTGGTAACCACAAGTCTGTATGAGAGAAAATTATTCTTAAAGAGGACAATGAACCCCAAACTTGCAGACACAGTGACATAAAGGCCAAAGGGGCTCACAGCTGAGTTGGAGGCTGATCTTCATGCAGTAGCGTCAGTGCAGGAACAGAGACGGGCACGGGGGCGAAGGGAGCCCTGAAAATGGGGGCAGCTGGGGAGGCAGAGGGGTCACGGCAGAGCCCACAGCACAAGTGATATCTGTGCTGAGTGTTGGCAGCTGAGCTAAAGCTACTCTGCCTTTAAGGGATGGGAAAGGATATTCCAGATAAAGGAAAAGA